TGTTTCATTTTGCAGAATTTGGAAAATTGGAATATGTACATCATACCATTGATAATTATTTAGGATTTCAGGGGGCAACTGCACTGAGTTTTGAAAAGGCTGATTTGGTAATCATGCCTTTGCTAGAAGTTATGGCTATCATGGGTATACCTGTACAAATTAAAACTGACAATGCTTCAGCATATGTCTCTGGTAAAATGAAATGGTTTTTTGCTAATTACAATATAAAGCATATTACAGGTATACCACATAATCCTACAGGCCAAGCAGTCATAGAAAGATCAACTCGAACTCTAAAGGATCAGAAAGGGGTAACAAAAAAAACCCAGAAATAGATTACATAATGCTCTGTTAACTTTCAATTTTCTCAATGCCAAGGAGAAAGGAACAAGAGCTGTGGAGAGACATTATATAACAGAAAAAACTAGAGAATTAAATCAGCCTGTATACTTTAAGGATGTGCTGACCTCAGAATGGAAACCAGGATATGTGTTACGTTGGGGATGAGGCTTTACTTTTGTTCTACAGCGGAACAAAAGCTATGGATACCATCAAAATTGATAAAGGTTCAATTTGAATTAAGAGACTCTTAATTAGAAGAGGTGGCAGTTCATCAATCAATTTAAACTATTCATTCAGTTTAAACTAACTTATACCACTAAAAAATGCTTTTCACTTAATCAGATATAACTTACCAAAAGGGAACCTCCCCAAAGTTAGGCTTGGGGAAGGGTTTTTGTTGTTGTCTTTCAGGAAAATGAAGGCATTCAGCTAAGGAATCTGAAGAACACTGGACAAATGAGACATCTGAAGAAAAAGGACAAATTATCCTGAAAGAAAATGCCTCAAGAAAAAAGAGTCAATTGGCCTATTGGTATGTCACATATAAAATTTCATGTCTTCCTAAATGTTTGCTTCTGCTGTTCTCTACAGACACTTAACATAAATTATCTTTATGTAGTCCTAGTTCAATTAAAAATTAAAGCTGCCTTTGGAGTTGGAGAATGGCTTTCTCTTTCTCTAAACACAAGCATGCTTGCTAAAAGAAAATGAGCCGGGTGGTGGTGGCACACGCCTTTAATCCCAGCACTCAGGAGGCTGAGCCAGGTGGATCTCTGTGAGTTTGAGGCCAGCCTGGTCTACAAAGGGAGATCCAGGACAGGCACCAAAACTATGCAGAGAAACCCTGTCTTGAAAAAAATTTGAAAAAAAAGAAAATGAAAAATCTCTGTATCATGTCAGAAGAGCCATCTGAAATGGGACAGAAGAAACCAAAATTAAGGGACTATTCTATTGCCACTAATCTCATAATTCTTTGGTTCTATTTTGATTCTTCAAAACTTTTTTCAAGGTATGAATTTTATATCAAAATTTATAAGATTTACATGCATATACTTTTAAACTTTTGTCATAATATTAATGGTCATATAGAGTACTAACTTACTCCAGAAAAAAAGCTTCATCTAGCTGCTTCTACATGTTTTCGTGCTTGAGTCTCTATCAGTTTTCTGCAGGGAATCATGACCATGCCTAACAGCAAATTTGAAGTCTCCAAAAAGATGATGGGGCTCCACAATGATGATTCCATCAGGATGATGATAAACACCACCCAAAGATTGGCTTTCTACTACAAACTGCTCAGGATAATTTTGAGATGGCTAACTGAGATGATCCAGCCTCACAGACTACTCAAGCAAGGACTTGAGATAAGCCCTGTACTTTTGCATTATGTAGAGACTGGACAACAAATGATACAGCTACCTCTCCCAGGACTTGACAATTAACCCAAAAAATTTTTGTTTTCAGGATCCCCTAAACATGCTTTTGCCCCCAGACAGCAGGAAGTAATTTTAAGAACATGACACCCACATTCCCAAGAGGTAGGGTGGGTGGGTTTTGGTCTTTCAATGGGTTTTGTATAGTAGTCATTGTTTAGGATGGTTGGTTACAAGTTGTTAATTATTAATGGTCAGGAAAAATATTAAACAAAGGAAATTATATTCAGGGTTCTTGTTTGAAAAAAAGAGGATATAGATAAGAGATAGATTATTGAATCTTACTCTGAAAAAAGATATAGAAATGATAAAAAAGGGTAGATTATTAAATCTAATCTGAAAAGAAAAAAGAGAGAATGTGGATATGAAAAGATAAAATGGTAGATTATTGAATTTACTTTTAAAAGGCAACTACTAGTTTTAAATATTTTACATTGGATTGGGTTTTTGTATATTGTATACAAATTTTGTATGTTGATTTGAGATTGACTTTATTAGAAAATACTGTACATGTATTTCTAATCTTGTTCAAGGTATTGTACCTATACAGTTCATTTAACAATATAGTGCAATTTGCTAGTCCTTGAAAGTTATTATTACCAACTAATTAGGATCTAAAGAAATGTAAATTAGTAATTAGTCCTTATAATTAAACTTGTAGTCATATTAGGTATGTTTCCAAGATCAAGCAGAGATATATTTTATATAGACAGGTCATCTTCAAACACTTCAGAGATCTGCAGACTATGGCATTTAAGATGTTTTAATAACATAGATTCTTTTTTTTATGACTATGAGACATGTCCGCTCCTGGCAGCACCAATTTACTTCAGAGAAGATGATGGGCATTGAAGAAACTCCATATGTTTACTTTCATTGTGGCAAAAGTTAGCCACTGGGCAAGAAAGTGCCCTCAAATTGACTGCTGACAGTATGCTGTCCAAAATGGACAAGCAGGACATAAAAGAAAGGACTGCAAACCTTGCTAAGACAAGGTCGGAAGGCTCTTTAGAAAATCCTGCTTCACAGATGAGTGTGTCAGATATGCTAAGCCTGTAGGTTGAAGAATGGATGCCCCAACGTTGCAGAGAAACCTCGAGTGACTGTCCAGGCAGCTTGCTGTTTCTGTCATAACTCACAAATTTTTGGGAAGTTGCTTGTTTACACTTCCTGTTTTACTAGGTAATATTATTTCCTTCTTGGTTCTCTGAGGGAGTTGAAGATTAGTTATCGTTTTCCTTGGTAACAATTTCAGAAAAGAAGCTCACTAAAGAGGTGTAAAGTGTATAAGTTTGAAAGACATCAAAAGATAGTTTTTGGTTGGTAATAAAAGTTAGGATAGAAAGTGAATTAAGTACATTTCGGACTCACCAAAATAGGATAGATGATGGAATATTTTTGCTGAATTTGTCAAATGCAAATGGACTAGACATTGTTGATGTATTTATTGCCTGTATATACTGTATATAGTTATTGTACTTATTGTATATAGTTTTTCTGATATTAGTTATAACTTATTTATTTTAGGCAAAAAAGGGGAAATGTGGTGATATTTTATTTGTGCACGCCAATAAAACTTATCTGAAGATCAGAGGGAAAAGCCAGCCACTATAGTAAACACAAAGGTCATGCAATGGTAGCATATACCTTTAATCCTAGCATTTGGGAGGCAGATATCTATCCGGATCTCTGTGAGTTCAAGGCCACACTGGGAACAGAGCCAGGTATGGTGGCACATGCCTTTAATCCCAGTACTAACCATGGAGGTCTGGAGGTCTGTACAGACAGACAGGAAATGATGTAACTGGGTGGAGAGAGGAAGTAAGAGGGCAGGGAAAGAAAGGCATATAGCCATGAGTACAGGAAATAAGTCTCTCTCTTTTTGGCTAAGGATTTCTAGTGGTAAGAACATGGCTGGCTTCTTTCTGCTTCCCTGATCTCTCAGTTTTTACCCCAATATCTGGCTCCAGGGTTTTTTATTAATAAGACTGTTCAGCAATTCATCTTACAGGCAATAGGCTAGGCTGCAGCACACTTTATGTGAATGAATACTGCAACTACCATGTGAAAAAGCAAGCAGCTAGACATACAGACTAACCTGATTGTGTCATCCTTTTTAGTTTTATCTAGTTAATGTCTCATTGGACCTCCTGTGTTAATCTTCTACTCTGAGACCTTCAGTGAGCTTGGCTTTGTGCCCTTTGCTCTCAGGCTTGACTTACCATAGTGAAAGAAGATAGACATCTATAGATTTAAAAAAAAGACTGTTCTAGGTGACATTCTGTGTGAGGGAGGCTCCCATGAGTCTTCCCCACCATAGGGGCCTATGAATTCACTTAGGATAAATTATTTCCAGTGGGAACTCAGATATCAGGAGTTAGCTCAGTGGTCTACTCTGCTGACTGACTGGTGATGGATTTCTAAGAGGCAATTTTGAAAGCTTTTGGTCTAGAGGATAAAACCCAATTTGAGATCAAACTACATTCAAGTTTTCTGCAGGCTGTAGTGGATGCTATCTGGATGGGTGATGTGAAGTGTTACAACGCTAGAAGCATTTTGTTTCTTTTGGGGATGAAATGGATTAATGTGAGCAGCTTAAACAAATCATAGACTGAAATAAAACTTTAATGCTCTTTAATATGTAAAAAATGTAAATCTACACAGAATTCTAAAATATTTAATTTCAAACACCAGACAAAGAAGAGCCAGGGGATCCTGTTATCCAGTGATGTAGGGCTTTCCAGTAGAACCACATGCTGTTTTATAGTGACATGATTCTTTCCTTTGAATCATGGGAACCTCTGTCCTTTTGGTTTACTACAGTTAGGCACATGTCTAATATTGCATTTCTAGTTAATTATGTTTTGATTTATAATATACTCATTTGCATATCAAACATGTTAGTTCCTTTCATCTCAACTGTAACTACTCTAGAAGTCTTTTATCATCACCCCCATTATTATTATTATTATTGTTTATTTTATAAGAATTCTCATTTGTATAAAAGCTTGTTAATGTCTGTTGTTGTAGTCACGGTCTAATTTGTTGTCACTTAAACCTTTAAAGATCAGGTAGAAGGATGCATCTGGGGCCGAAGGTGTGAAGGAGTTGGGGGACCTGTACAAAGCTGGGGTTCTGCTCTCTGGACTGCAGCACTGTGGACTTGGGCTTGCAGATGCATCTTTGCCCTCACATGAAATATACTGCTTTTCAAATTAGAATTACCTTTAATCTTGTTTTCCCCATAGAGACACGAGGTAGTCCTTCTTTCTCGGGGCAAACATTTTTGTATTTTCCAAGCACATCACAAATTTTCACCTTTAAATCTTTTTTAATGAGTTCCTTAAGATGCACGTGCTGCAATTCACTGTGCTCATGCTCCATTTCCTTCACTCTCTTGGTAGCAGGCTGCTCTGAATATAAGAACTCACTGTCATATTTCTTCCTTAGCTCTTGTCCTGTAGATATTTTCTGAAGATGAGAAGGTAGAATGTTTTCAAAATGACTCTGTCCTTATATATTACAGTGTATGGACAAAGAAAAAGGAGCAACTAATTAATATTTATTAGTTAAATATCTTCATAAATGCTCTTCTATTTACACCATCACTTGCTATTGATAAGAAGTGAAACCAATTTATTCTCATCTAGAGTAGGAGAAAAACATGACCCAACATACTTAACTTAGTATTGATTACAGTGTTGATTACAATAACCACACTTTACTTGTTAAATCTTCTAACAAATGATTACATGACTTTTAACATCACAACGGATGACTTTCGTAAGAGATATTATCGTACACTACCTAGAAAGGTTAAGCCCCAAGAGTACATTTGAGGCCTTTTTCTGTTTTTCAGTAAATAGCTTGTTGGCAAGCCAAAGTTACCAAGAACCAAAATCACTGAACACCATCAAAAAGAAAAACAAACTGCTAAATTTTACTTTACATTATGTACTGTGTAGTTTATAGTTATATGGTATAAAGTATATTGTATATTAACATATCATAAACAAATCATAGGGAAGATAAACAAATACAGCCATCTTGCTGAAGGTACATCAGCTGGCAGGTACAACAAAGTTTAAATTGTACTTCAGATTATACCCTGTGAGAGTACCCTGCATACATGCAGACTATCTGCACTGACTCACGTTTTAACATAGTTCATATGAGATAATGAACAAGATGTTCAATGATCTTTACCTATTTTTCCTCAGTATATTAAAATAAATAAAATGCTATTACATGAATCCTAACATCATTAAATGAAGCTGTTCTCTGCAGAAAGAGACACATGTGAAAGACAGAGCTTGGTGACTGGTTGGGACTTTGAAGGAGGGCTGGAGTCCAGGTCTCCTCTACTTCAGTATTTCAATACGATTCACCAGCTGCTATTTACTAGAATGGAGACAACAGCAGAAAGAGCAATGGTCAGCCAAGACCCAGGGAATGGAGAAGGATATTTTCAGTTTGTAATATGAAATTTAGGCACACGGAGGCCTTGGGAGACAGAACTGCATGGACAGCCAAGGAGGATGTGGCCTGTGAAAAAGCTTATGGATTCAAGAAGATAAACATCCATAAATATAATTTAGACTTAAAAATGTTAGCTTATACAGAATTCTGAAATACTTAAGTAAGAGTATCAAAGGCAGAAAAGCCAGGGGATCCAGTTGTCCAGTGATATAGGGCTTTCCATTAGATTCACATGCTGTTTTTAAGTCCCATGATTCCTGTCTTTGAATTATTGAGACCATGGCCCTTTGATGTACTAGACTTAGGCACATGTCTAAGATTGAATTTCCAGGTCATTACATTTGGCTTATGATGTTATTTGCAGAGAAAGCATATTAGTTCTTTTCATTCAACTGAAAACCCCATGAGGTCTTTATCATTTTTCTATATTATTATTATATAAGAAGTCTCATCATTTATTTTAAAGTCATATTTGTTGTAATCTAAATTTTTCACAGAAGCTCAAGGTGGGTGGGAAGTGTCCTGGGAATGGAGAAGTGTAGGGCATGTGCAAGGCTGAAGTCCTGTTGTCGAGATGCTCTCTACAGCCCAGAGACAAGGGCTCACAGATGCCTCTACCCCCCCCCCACACACACACTACGTACATTGCTTTTAAAATTAGAAGGAATTACCCGTAGTTGTTTTCTTCCATGAAGGATATGAGGTAGTTCTTTCTTCATACATGTATCACATTTATATTTTTCAAGTGTTTCACAAAGTGCTTCTTTTAAATCGTCTTTAATGAGTTCCTTTAGAGGCATACAGCGGGAATCACTCTGCCCATCAATGACTTCCTCTTCAGTTTGCACTGAGGGCTTTTCTGAATGTGAAGGGGCACTGTCATGGTCACCTCCATGTTTTTTCTTTTTTCTTTGTTCCAGAGATGTTCTCTGCAGGAGGAGAGATAGAAGGTTCATTTGCTTGGTTTCCTAGAAGAAGTTTTTTTAATTTTTTTATTTTTAGGTGCTTGTTTTCAAAATTACTTTATCTTCACAAGTCATAAGTTATAGACCATGAGAAAGTAAAAAAAAATGCTTAATACTTAACAGTTAAACTTCTTCATATATGTTTAGTCTGTCTCAAATCACTAGGCTCTCATTAAGAACTGAAAACAAATTACGTTTTTCTAGAATTAACTAAAAGTCATGAACCCGTGATTTTTGTGTCAATGTTGTTTGGAATAAACTAATGGTGTGTCACATATTCAAAACCATAAATTACATGAGATTTTTTGAATTTTTTTATTTAGATGAGATTTAACATGTAAAAACAATTCTCACACCTAAAGATTTGACCTCACCTGTGTGTTTCCTCAGAGAACTTGTACTATTGCTCCCTGGGAGTGTTTATTAAACAATGATTCTCTTCCTCAAATTAATGATTATTATATCTCAAACTGATGACTATCTTAACTACACATATAAATGGAAGAAAATGATTTTTAAAGTGTCATGTAGGATTTTTACTTATTTAAATAACTAGCTTAAATATTTTTAAAATTTTAGCATGTTTACAAGATTCTCTCTCTCTCTCTCTCTCTCTCTCTCTCTCTCTCTCTCTCTCTCTCTCTCTCTCTCTCTCTCTCTCTCTCCAGACAGGGTTTCTCTGTGTAGCTTTGGATCCTTTCCTGGAATTCACTCTGTAGCCCAGGCTGGCCAAGAACTCACAGAGACCCACCTGACTCTGCCTCCCGAGTGCTGGGATTAAAGGCATGTACCACCACTTCCCGGCTAAGGATTTTTTCTCATAAATAACCTCTCAAGGGGGAAGATCATACATGAAAAATCATGTATGTATTATATTGACTTGAGATCACAGACAGTAAGAGAAGAGCTATTTAGGGTGTCAAATAGCTAGAGACACATGATTATATGGATTTGGCTGCTTCTAAGAAAGAGGAGAAGCAGTTGATAATAAAGCTTTGGGGACAACAATTAATTAATAAAGCCATATACACCTGTTACACAGGGAGACATAACTAAATTAACTAACAATAGAAATAGAAACTGTAAGAAAGATCAAATGTGTTTTGCAAAAATAGTTCAGTATTGGTACAAAGCATTTTTAAAAGGCCAGGGAGGAGAGACAAACAAGTAGAACTCTCTGTCCAGAGGGCAGCAAGCAGCAGGCACAGCCAACAGGATTCATTTCAAACTACACGCTGTGAACATGCCGTGCATGTACACGGACTATCCATGCTACGTCTAGTTCTAATGTAGCCTACTGTCCTCTTGTTACAGTGAAATAAGTACTAGAGTGAAATTCTAACTTCAAAGGTTCCATTCTGGAAGGTGAGGTTCTCTTTCTAAGCATTGGGGTTGATTCAGGAACCTGTTCTGTCTGTCAGCAGAGAAAGGTTAAAATCACAGACCTTAGTTACCAGTTGGTACTTTGAGGGATGACTGGAGCCCAGAACTTCCCAACTTCAGTGTTTCTGTGCTATTGACTGGATTGAAGAAAACAAGAAAGGACAGAGCAGAATGACAGCAGGAAAGTTTCAGAGAATGGTAAGAAGTGATGTTGCCTGAAATTAGGCCACCCAAGGGTTAATGCACAGCGCTCTATCAATTCATTAGAAGAGGAGGCAGCCTAACTTGGGAAAAGCAAATTATTTAAGAAGATAAACTTTCCAGGTGGTGGTGGCACACACCTTTAATCCCAGCACTCGGGAGGCAGAGGCAGGTGGATCTCTGTGAGTTCAAGGCCATCATGGTCTACAGAGTGAGATCCAGGACAGGTTCCAGAACTAAACAGAGAAACACTGTCTGGAAAAACCAAATTTTTTAAAAAAAGATAAACACTTGTAAAGTATAATAAACCTATAATTATATATGCAAATATACACAGAAGTCTGAAACAAGAGAGAAAAATAGCTTAGAATTCTCTAATGCAGCTCTATAGTCTATCTATACCTGTTAACATACAGTGTGGTTTTATTAGTCATGTGATTTATTTCTTTGAAATATTTAAACCAGTGTCCTTTCTTGACTTCAGTATGCATTTACTATATAATTTCTAATTCTGCTTTTGTTTATACACTTACCACATGCATATCTGTTCTTTTCCTGTCAACCATAACTACTCTCTGGCTTGTTATTATTCTCTGTTTTCTGTACTATTACGAGACTTGTGCCCATTTGTGTTAACAGCACGTTCACTTCCTGATCTATTGTTTTCATAGTTGAGTCACATGAACATCAGAAGATTACCAGCCACTGGATTCTTGGGACCAAGAACATGAGGGGCCAGGATATGATCAAGGTTGGGCATCTGACAGGAACTATCTGCAGGACTGCCGACTCAGGCAAACAGATGCATCTTTCAGAGCCTGTCAATCAAACACAGTCCTTTCCAGTGAGAGAGACCTACCTGGTAGTCTGCAGTTCCTTTAGAGGCACCAGGTAGTGGCTCTTCTTTAGGACAAATGATAATTTTGGAATTTTTAACCTGTTGCCGAACCATCTCTTTTAAGTCCCTTCTAAAGAGTTCCTTCAGCTGCAGGTACTGCAGATTCCAGTGCTCCTGCTCTTGCAGCAGGGCCGTCTTCTCCACAAATATTTGTCTTAATTCCTTCTTGAGTGTTCCCCTAATTTCCTCTAGATCCTTTATGAGGAGTTTCCTCATCTTTGCATACCCTGTAGCCAATTCCTCCTTTATTAATTCCTTTATATAATTTCTGAAGGCTTCATTCAGTTGTGTGTGGTGCCAATCAGCTTGCTCCTTCACGTCCTCCTTCCTCCTGACCAAAGGAATTCTTGAATGCACACGTGCATCTATTCCATCACATTTCTTCTTTTCCTCAGTCATTTTCTGCTGATGAGAAAAAGGAGATTAGTTCGCTTGACTTCATTCTCACATTTGTTGTTGTTGTTTGGGGTGCTTGTTCACAAAATGGCTTTGTCCTTACAGGTTGTAGGGAGCAGATGGGGAAAGCAGGAAGCACATTTTAACAGTTCAGTTTCTTCATAAGTTTGGCTACTCAAGTCACTAGGCTATCATCAGCAGAAAGCCATGAACCAACAAACTTGCTCAGTGTTAACTGAAATAAATTTAATTTTGTTAAATTTGCCAAAAATAGTGACTTGGATGATTTTTAACATTACAAAACAATTCTTGAACAATGGGTTTTGTATTGTTAATCTTTGATGTCTAGTAGGGTCATTGTGGTCCTGTTATAAATAACTCCATTTTGACTGTTTTTATGTATGCATATGTATATGTATAAAAGGGTGTGTGTGTGTGTGTGTGTGTGTGTGTGTGTGTGTGTGTGTGTGTGTGTGTATGTCCTTTAGCTGCTCTTTCTGCAGGGATACCTGGCTAAGTGTTGATTTTATCTCTCAGTACAGGCAGTAAAGACAATTAGAAACTGGGGTAGAACTGATTCTATAAACTTGACATAAATGTGAATGGTACAAATTTCAGTTCTAGAGAATAAATTCTTTTTAAGTTATCCTAACATGCTGGTTATTATGGACACATTGTTCATAATGTCAATCACCTTGTCAGGAGGCTTAAGCTTATCATACATATATCATTAGAGGACATTATATAAGTGAGAGAGTGCAAATTTTTCAGAATAAAATTTACCTCAATTGTAAAGACTATTTAAGATAAGGTTTCACAGGAAATTACTAGATTTTAAGAGTTTATGTTTATTTTAATTTGTTTATGTATACGTGTGCCTGACTGTCTCCATGTGTGGGCTGAAGCTCTTGGAGGCCTGAATCAGGCATCAGATCTGTGGAATTGGAATTACAGGTGGTTGTATGCTACTATGTAAGTGCTGGGAACTAAATTCAGGTCTTCTTGAAGGAATAGTAAGGGCTTTAAATTCTGAGCTATCTCTTCAGTCCTTTTAAAAATTAAGTTTATAGTTTATGTGTAAAGATTTTATGCCTTATAAAGTATTTCTAGAAAAATGTTAGGCAAAATATTAGAAATAAAGATACAATGTTTTATGAAGGAAAATTCAGATATTATTGATATGGATTGCATTTAGAATGATAAATTGACCAGGTTAGTGCACATTTCAGGCATGAGAGGAATATAATATGTTTGACAGTAATGTACCAAACTACAACCACTATATGTTTCATGGAAATATGATTATAGTATAAATGAAGTACAAGATTTTTTTAGGGTTGGATTCAAATCTATTGTTTGATGCTAGGAAACATCTACTATCCTATAAACAAAAGTTCTTACAATTACCAGTGTCTAATACCTAGTATGCAATCCCATATTCAAGAATTAACATGTAGCCGGGCGGTGGTGGCGCACGCCTTTAATCCCAGCACTCGGGAGGCAGAGGCAGGCGGATCTCTGTGAGTTCGAGGCCAGCCTGGTCTCCAAAGCGAGTTCCAGGAAAGGCGCAAAGCTACACAGAGAAACCCTGTCTCGAAAAACCAAAAAAAAAAAAAAAAAAAAAAAGAATTAACATGTAATTTAAACTTTCTTAATATGAATTAATACAAACCATCTGGAAAATACTTAAATTTTAATCACAGTGGATGACAGAGTTTAAGTTTAGTTACTTATAGAGGGAGAGTAGATGACATTTGCTGTGAGATTGTGCCTCCTCGAAAAGTCAAAGTAGCTACACCCATAAAGTCTTATCAACATGGCTGCCTAAACATGACCTGAACAAAAATGATATCAATAGACAGCTAACATAGAAGGGCAAAAGGTCACAGGGCCACACCTCTATATAAAGAACTATGGGTGAGTGGGGAATGCTAAGGAGTGGAGAGATGGTCTTCTTCAGGAAAGTACCTCCCTCAATGAATCATCTAATACCAGTGGTCAGCCCTGAGGCTATATAAATACATGTACACATACATGTAAAATTATATTGATTGAGCAGGTTGTATTCATATATTTAAGAGTGTATGTGTGTATTGTGTGTATATATGTGTGTGTGTGCGTGTGTGTGTGTAAAAACATAAAGAGAGACCATAAATTTGAGAGCAAGGGGGAGTGTATGGGAGGAGTTGGGGGAGAAAAATGAAGGGAAGTAAATGATATAATTATATTATTATTTCAGAAAATATTAATTAAAGAAAAAAAGCACAAATTAGATTTTTAGCAAACCAATGCATTTGTGTGGCTCATATAGAAGGGAAACCTTCTGCATACGTACTGATCAATGACATGGCTCAAAGCATACTGGATTCAATTCCTTATAGGTAATTGAAAGTCCAGATTGTTGAAGAAACCTCTGGAATTGTAATGTCTAATTCAGTTTGTGTAAGTAACTACATGTATCTTCTCTGGGCCACATATCTCTTTTGGTGAGTTGATTTTGAAATAGTGTGTGCAAAGCAAATACATGCATGTGAAATAGTTTCTTCTTTTAATATCCAGTTTTCTCAAAACAGCTGCAAGATGAGGCCGAGGTGATGGCTCAATGGATGTTTCTTTCTGTTTCTGTCATAAAAAGCATGACCAAAAGCAACAGGCAAGGAAAGGAATTATTTGGCTTCTATACCCTGGGTCACAATCTAGTGAAGGAAGTCAAGACAGAAACTCAAAGTAGGAACTTAAGAAGAAGCCATGGACCCATTAGCTGCTTACTGGTTTGCTCCTCATGACTTTCTCAGCATGTTTTCAGATATGACCCAAGACTGTCTGCCCAAGGGTAGCACTGTCCATCCTAAACTGGGTCCTTGCACATCAATCATTAAGCAAGAAAATGCCCGACACACTTGCCTACATGTAATCTGTTGGAGAGACTTTCCCAACTGAAGTTCCTCTTCAATGTCATGATGCTGTTTACTTAATGGAGAAAACAGGTAATAGAGCAGAATGATGGGCAGGCAAGAATCAGGAAATGGTAAAAGCCAATGTCTTCATTTGTTATTCGAAATCTGAGGTACCCAGAAAACTTAGAAGGCACAACTGAGTATCAATGTATACATAATGAAAGGTGCATATGGATTTAAAGGGTAAATATTTGTAAAACACAATAAACTTATACCTTCAAGATGAAAACTTATACAAATTCTGGATTATTTAATGTAAAAGCAAGGGAGATACAAGCTTGAGTAGTCAACTATTTGCTGTGGGATGCCCTGTATGTTGTGAATAAATAAAACGCTGATTGGCCAGTAGCCAGGCAGGAAGTATAGGATAGGCAGGACAAACAGAGAGGAGAGGCTGGGACGTGGAAGTCTGGGAGGGACGCCAGCCTGCCATCCAGGTAGCAGCATGTAAAGCCACAGAACACATGGCGACATATAGATTAACAAAAATGGGCTGAGTATAAGAGTAAGGGCTAGACAGTGGTAGGCCTGAGCTAATGGCCGAGCAGTCTAAATAATATAAGCGTCTATATGTTTGTTTATTTTGTAAGTGGCCTACGGGACTGCTGGGGCTTGGCAGGGCCTGGAGAGAAAAACTCTAGCTACAACTATTCAAGTAGATAAGTCAACAGTGGGAAAACTGTGGTGCTATTTTCATTTCAGTCACATGATCCTAGAAGCCCAGACACCTTTGGTTCACTAGACTTTGCCATGTGTCTACTGGCTAACCCCCAGTTCCTTATATACACTTCGTTCTGGTATCACTTGCAGAGCTGCCATGTTGCTTCCTTTCATATCAACTCTAACGACTCCTGGGCCTTTATTTTTACTATTATTTACACTTTCACCATAATTGTATAAATTTTCCTTATGGTGTTAAAAACATGTTTGATTTTTAGTTTGTTATCTTTAGAGTCTAGTTTAGTTTGCTTAAACCTTAGATGATGACTGGCCAGTGTATTCCTGGGACTGGGAGCATGAGGAAATGCAAGTTATTTTCATGATTTAGGTTTTGCTGTTGTTTGGAAAATATCTAACCTGCTTCAGAGATGGGCAGTCCAGATGCATCTTTTCCTACATGCTCAAATATATGCAATTTTCAGATCAGAGGGAACAGAATTACCTTTAAGTATGCTTTCTCTTTGGGCTTACTGGGAATTGGCACTCTGTTAGAACAGATGTTACTTTCAGACTTTTCATACATTTTACGCATTTTCCTCTTCAAATCTTTCTTGAGAAGTTCGTTAAGACATGCATACTGGTGTGCACTCATCTGGGCCCACATCTCCTCCTTACTCTTTTTTGCAGAGAAATGATCTGATTGTGTGGATGTGTATTCTTGTTTTGAGGACATTTTCTGCTGAGGAGAAGATGGAAGATTAATTTGATTTGCTTCAGTCTCAGTGTTCTTTATTTGGGGTCCTTGTATTTTAAAATGACTGTAACTTTATAAGACAAAGGTTATGGAGACAGTGAAAGCAGAAAATAATTGGTAATTAACAGTTAAATTTATCTATATCTATGCGCAGCTACCCAAAAATCACTAGGCTATCATTAAAAGCTGAAATCATTTGCATTAGGTAAGAGCCTAGGACTTCTACATTCGGGGTTTCAGTGCTATTTACCAGGCACTACTTACTATACAGGAGAAAAAGGATAACAGAGCAGAATATTAGCCAGACAAGTATCAGGGAACACTAAAGGGCAATGTCTTCAGGTTGTTCCACGAAGTCTGAGGCACCCAGAGTACTTGTAAGGCATAATTGAATTGCTACATGGGAGAATGATAGCCTTAATTGCAAAATGCATATGTTCTCCAGAAGATATATTTGCAAGATACACTGAACATAACTAAAAAATGTGTGTGTGTGCCTGAGGGGTCACCAACTGGATCAGGCCCTCTGAATGGGTGAGACAGTTGATTGGCTTGATCTGTTTGGGAGGCATCCAGGCAGTGGGACCGGGTCCTGTGCTCATTGCATGAGTCGGCTGTTTGAAACCTGGGGCCTATGCAGGATCGCTTGGCTCGGCCTGGGAGGAGGGGACTGGACCTACCTGGACTGAGTCTACCAGGTTGTTCTCAGTCTGCAGGGAAGGCTTTGCCCTGGAGGAGATGGGAATTGGGGGCAGGCTGGGGGGAAGGTGAGGAGGGCGGGAGGGGGGAGAACAAGGGAATCCGTGGCTGATATGTAGAACTGAATTGTATTGCAAAATAAAAAAAAAATGTGTGTGTGTGTGTGTGTGTGTGTGTGTGTGTGTGTGTGTGTGTGTGTGTGTGTGTAGTGTAGTGTAGGCCTACAGCCTACAATTGTACAGCTACCTGAATTTTGACTAAGAGGCCAACAACACACCTTGTTGTAAAGACAGTATCTTTAACAAATGGTGCTGGTCAAACAAGGAAGCTACATGTAGAAGAATAAAACTTGATTCTTATTACTTTACCTTGAACAAAACTCAAATCCATATATATCAAGGACCTTAATATAAGATCTGGTACCCTGAATTTGGTAGAAAAAAGAGTAGGAAATATACTTGAATTTATAGGCACTAGAATGGATTTTCTGAGCAGATCCTGATAGTACAAGCATTAAGACAAACAAATGAGAAATGGGAACACATAAAACTGAAAAGTTTCTGCATAGAAAAGGACAACATAATTGGAGTAAAAAGGCAGCCTACAGAATGTGAAAAAATCTTTACCAGCTATCTGTCTGACAGAAGGCTTCTCTCTAGAATATGAAAAGAACTAACTAACTAACTAACTAACTAACTAACTAACTAACTAACTAACTAACTAACAAGTAAATACATAAACATCAGGGAAAGAAAGCAACCCAATTTAAAAAAATGAGGCACGGGACTAAAGAAATAGTTTAGTTTTACTAAACAAATAGTTCCCAAAATATGGAAACTAAATGGTTGATAAAATTTTTTAAATGTTCAATATCCTTAGCCATCAGAAAAATACAAATTAAAACTACTTTGACATTTCATCTCCCCCCAGTCAGAGTGGCTAAGGTTCTTAAAATGACAACAAATGTTGGCATGGATGTGGGGAAAGAGGAACAGTTTTCACAGCTGGTGGGAGTGCCAACTGGTGTAGCCAACTATGGAAATCAGTGTAGATATTCCTTGTAAACCTACAAATAAATTGATCACATAGTCCTTCTATATTAGTCCTTGAGCATCTATCCAAGGACTCTATATCCTTCTGCAGTGATACTTGCTCATCCATGTTCATTGCTGTCTTATTCCCAGTTTCCAGAAAAATGGAAACCACCTAGATGTCCATTAACTTATCAATAGAGAATAAAATATGGTGTATTTACATAATGGAATTTTATTCAGTTGATAAGAAAATTCAGTCCTAAAAGCCACACATAAAAGGATGAAGCTGGAAACCGTCATTCCAAGTGAGGTAGCCTAGACCCAGAAAGACAGTATTGCAAGTTTTCTCTTATTTGTAGATTATAAGCTTTGAATATGTAGATGTTCATGTTTCATTTGGAATCCCCATAGAGGACAACATTAAACTGACTCCTAATGACTTACCAATCTCTTTCATTAAGCCCATAGATTAGTGCCTCTACTAACCCTCATCAGAGAAGCTTCTTTTTGCAGTAGATGATGATTGACAGAGACCCACAACTGGTCTCTGCAGAATTCTCAGCCCTAAATGAAAACCTATCTTATACCCTCTCCTAAGGCTCAGGTATCATTGTAGAAGAGGAGCCAAAAACCCGGGTGGATCTCTGGGAGTCCAATTAGCGAGAATGAGGAGGGTTTATATGAGCGAGAATTGTTGAGACCAAGGTTGGATAAAGCACAGGGACAAATAGCCAAATGAATGGAAACACATGAACTATGAACCAATGGCTGAGGGGTCCCCACTGGATCAGGCCCTCTGAATGGATGAGACAGTTGATTGGCTTGATCTGTTTGGGAGGCACCCAGGCAGTGGGACCAGATCTTGTGCTCATTGCATGAGTTGGCTGTTTGAAACCTGGGGCCTATGCAGGATTGTTTGGCTCGGCCTGGGAGGAGGGGACTAGACCTACCTGGACTGAGTCTACCAGGTTGACCTCAGTCTGTGGGGAAGGCTTTGCCCTGGAGGAGATGGGAATGGGGGGGGGGTTGGGGGGAAGGTGAGGGGGACGGGAGGGGGGAGAACAAGGGAATCCGTGGCTGATATGTAGAACTGAATTGTATTGCAAAATAAATTAATAAAAAAAAAAAAAAAAAAAAGAAGAGGAGCCAAAAAGACTGTAAGAGCCAGAAGTGGTGGATAACTGCGAGGAAGCGGTATTTTCTGGACAAAACAGGGTATTTGCATGTATGAACAGCACAGCAGTTGCAGTAGCATGTGCAAGACCTGAAGAAGGGAGGTGAACCTGAAGTCCCACCCATACTGAGGAGGTATTGGCAATAATTCCTGCTAGGAGAGGGAGAGGGAGTTTTCTGTAAGGGTCTGTGTAGCCCCTGTTGGTGGACCGTGCTCCAGTAGGTAGTAACACAAATCCGATTCAATGGCATTTAGAGAAAAGCCTGAGGACAAAGGGAAGGGGGCTGTAGTCTGTGAGGAGCTGTGGGATGAGTGTGATCAAAATGCATCATATGAAATTCTCAATGAACTAAAAAAAGAAATGCAAACCTAGACAAATTTCTGAAACTTTTTAAGTAGATAGAGAAGAAAACTGAGAATTCAACTGTTCTCATACATATAACTTTAACTACAGAAATATGATGTCTTTTTTTTTTTTGGTTTTTCGAGACAGGGTTTCTCTGTGTAGCTTTGTGTCTTTCCTGGAACTCACTTGGTAGCCCAGGCTGGCCTCGAACTCACAGAGATCCACCTGTCTCTGCCTCCCGAGTGCTGGGATTAAAGGCGTGCGCCACCACCGCCCAGCACTCTTTTTATTTCAATTCAATAAAATTATATCTTTGAAGTGCATAAATGACTACACTTTAGGTTTACTGTATTTTGGCATATGTCTAATATCAAATTTCCAATTACTTATGCTTTGGTTTACATACATCAAATATCATTTCAACTGTAATGACCCCCAGTTCCCTCACTACTATTGTGTGGTTATTATCGTTTGTTTTTGTATTAGTGCTAGAATTCTTCTTTGTGTTTAAACCATGGCAGGTTTAAGATTTGTTATTTTCATAGCTTTAATTATTTGCATGTAAGGCTGGGAAGATGACTAACCAAAGTATTCCTGTGACTAAGAGAACAAGGAGATGCGAGGGCATGTCCAAAGCTGGGTTCTTTTGTTGGGAAACTCTGCAGTACCACACAGAGACCCTCCACATTATCTTTCCCCCATCATGAAACAAGCACTTTTAAAATTAGTGGGAACTACTTACCATTGAGTGTGTTCTTCCTCCAGAGGTATTAGGTAATGGTTCTTCATCAGATGTATCAGAGTCAGAGCTTTCAATACCTTCTCTCATCATCTCCTTTGATCTTTCTCTGAGGTACTGGTTAAGATATGAATACTGTGTTGCAACTTGTCGTACCCATCTTTCTTCATCTGAGTCCTCACAGGGAGGCTGAAGATGGACAGTTTTATATTCACTGTCACATTTAGTTTTTTCTTGGTCTTGAGTTATTTTCTGCATATAGGAAAGATGGAACATACATTTGCTCATATTTTTTGTTTTGAGATGTATGTCTTCAAACAACTCTTTTTCCCTCAGTAGTCATCAGATATTGACACAGAAAAAAACAGACACTACTAATCATTTAATAATTGTATATCCTTATAAATGTTTAGCTACTCACAATTACTGGCCTATCATTAAGAAGTGAAAATAGTCACATCCACCCACACAGCTGCCATCTCAATACTCAAAGACCTACTCTGGACCTCAGGCTCTGACTTTATTTGTAAATCCTCTCTGCCATAGCCACACCCACAGCTGCCATCTCAGCACCCAAAGACCTACTCTGGACCCTCAGGCTCTGACTTCAGCTGGTGAGTACCTCCCTTACTCCCACCTCCCACCCCTACCATACCCACACACATAGGCATAGCTCCAGACCATGGCTCACATTAGCTTTGCCTGATGAAGGTCCAGTCAAGTAGCTCATGTACCAGCTTTGCCTGGCCTAACTGGCCACACAGCTCTGGCATTGGTCTTATCTAAGGCAGGCTAAAATCTGACATCAGACACACAACCAAAGAAGGAAGTCCATCTGCCCAGAGATTAATGAAATAGAAGCAAATAAAACCATTGAAAGAAACAATGAATCTAAGAGCTGGTTCTTGACAGAGATATGGAATGAGATCTACATGAACAGCCTGGTCATGAGTGGGGGTAATGAAGGGTGAGGGTCAAGAGAAAGAGAGCTAACCGGAACCATTATGTATTTAGGTGTATTGCCAGAGCTGTGTTTTAAAATCACTCCAATGTTCATTTATTTCTGCAAACAATCCTCGGGCAAACATCAAACATCTTCTACTATCGGTGACCAGCACTCAATCTTCTACCACTATGTGTTTCCAGGCCATTCTCTTCATTGGCCACCACAACCTGAAGGGATTTGCTGCTTACTTGAAGGTTAAGGAAAGGAACTTTCATACATATAAAATGGATGCCAACCCAGACCAACTTTCTATATGAAACTGTGATAGGTAGACTACTGCTGCATTTGAACAAAAATCATAAAAAAATAAATTTCACTAAGGTGCCTTTTACCTTAACAACAGAGGTACTGTCATTGCCTTCTATTGTAGTCCCAGGGACATCAGGATCAGGTTTGTCAGAGAGCCTTTAGGAAAAAAACATGCAATAATGGCAGGATTTGGTCATCTGAGAAACTCTGGAGAAAAGATCCAGTACTAATGTATTAAGTGACATTTCTACATTTATGTAATTCAAAGTCATCCTATGTTTTAAAACTTTTGGTTGACTGTGTGAGCTTTAACTTATTTCAATCTATAAACCATTCAACAAAGACTCACTGATAGTCCCAGTCTTTTAAAACGTCAGCAGCTTAGGAGATGGCTCAGAAAATAAGAGTGCTTGCTGCCTACACACAAGGACTTGGGTTTAAATCTGCATCATACGTGTAAAAAAATTGGGCATGCCCTATAACAAAACTTCTTTCTAAAATTCCAAAAACAGTTTTTCTTTGAAAGTTAACAACCTCATTTTCTGAGAGTCACTTTTCCTCCCCTGTGAATAGAAACATAAATCCATAATCCAAAATCATGAGAGTTCTCATGTTGATTCTAGAGTCAGGCAGACTAGGGAAAGCACAGTAGGAATAAAAACATCTTGTTAGAGTTTTAGGAATTAAGTCTGTACTCCATTTCTTTTTACTAGCACATTCATGTTTATGTGTCACATATTATGTAACAATACAAAATTCCATTGGTTTGAAAGGATGTTTCAATAGCTGTTTCACTTGGCATCAAGCCTGATGACCTGAGTTGGAGCCCCACTCACATGGTAGAAAGAGAAATACAAATCCCGTTATTGTCCTTTGATTTATACACACACACACACACACACACACACACACACACACACACACACACACACACACACACACTGTGTCATGTCCAAAACATTGAAAATAAGTAAAATATTTTAATCAAAAATAGCATGTCATTAACATTCTTATTTGCAGGAACCTTGTATGCTGTCACATTTAGGATTTGATCTTTTCTCTTCAGGAACTTGACCTTTAAACTGTGTACTGTGTTTCACAATAGACATATGAGAGCTGATAGGTTTAATGATTGGCAATAGTAGACAGTGACTTGGTGATGATGCTCTTTCTTTGACCCTTCCATTGTGCCAATTTGATGTTTCAAATCTGAAAATAAAAACATTTTGAAAAAAAACTGGGCATGCATTTGCAGCCCTAGGTCTGTGGGTGGCAGAGAAAGGGCATCATGGGGTCTTGTTGGCTGCAAGTCTAGCTCCAAGTTCTTGAGAGACCTTATATCAAGTGGAAAAGATAGAGAATGATAGAGCAAGATACCAATATCCTCCTCTTACCTCTAAGCCTGCACACAGACATATGCAACACACACACAGAGACAGAGAGACAGAGAGACAGAGACAGAGAGACAAAGAGAGAGACAGAGACAGAGAGAGATAGAGACAGAGAGAGACACAGACAGAGAGAGACACAGAGAGAGACACAGACAGAGACAGACAGAGAGAGAGAGTCAATCACCAATATATTGACTTTTGCCTGTACAAATTGCCTCTCTTAAAGTTGGAGCTGATAATTCCCCTAACAAGTACATACATTTGCTACCTGAACTGAAATGAATCCACTGCTAAAACAAGACAGAAGGTTGTCGGCACCTTCCCCAATGGCTGACTCTGGTTGAAGACTAAGCACTCTATGCCCTGTCCATTGTCTACACCTGGGCGAAGACTAATTATTTATGTAAACTGATAAAGAGTATTGGGTACCGAAAGCATATCTGCTACAGAGACCACTTTAAGGGGTTCAAATCACATTCACATCTTTGTGTGTGTGTGTGTGTGTGTGTGTGTGTGTGTGTGTGTGTGTGTGTGTGTGTGTTTGCACATGTGTATAGATACATGTGCTGGTGTTTGTGTGTGTGTGGAGGACAGTGGACATCAGTGTGCTTCCTCCTCGGGTACCATCCACCATACACAGGTGTCTCACTGCACAAGAAAACAAATCCATTATTCTATTTGGTTTTCAGCAAGCAATCGGAATAACTGTAAGTCTGCCTCCCCAGTGATGGATGGACAAGCGTGTGCAATCATGCCTGGGCTTTTATTTGTGTGCTTGAATCAGTGTCTCATGTTTACAGAAGATGCACTTCACTGACAGGGCTGTCTCCCCAGTCCCAAACTGGGACCTTTCAACAGACACCTTGACATTTTCAGGTCCTCCAACTAGGCAGTCTAAACAGCAATACATTTTCAGGACTCTCTTCAATTCCCAGTTTTAATGTGCTTTTGTGATCATTTTAGTGTCTCTTAACTTGAGTTTCCCTGTTATCCTTGTCACATCTGCTACACACCCCATTGTTTTCACCGCTTTTCTAGAACCCTCGCTGCTACCCAAACTAATGTTCTTCAAGCTCCACTTTCCACTGTAAACTCAGTCCCATCCTCCTTTAGGAGGTTAACCTGCTAAGCCCACACTTACCTCCTCCATGGGTTTCATTTCCTGTGCTCTCCCATTTTATTACTAAACACTCACATACCTGTAGATAAGTGAGGAGACTACCAGGTGGATTTTCAGACTACCAGCTTTACAACTCAGAAGCTAGAGTAAAATCTCGTTTGTGACATGTGCTCTGTCGACATAAATTACTTTCATGTTTGAACTTCAGGCCTCCCCAATGGAAGCATCACTTGGGAAGGAAATGAAACACAAGAAATACTAACACGTATTCTAAGAGTCCTTAAAATCCTGAAATTCTAGATGTTTTTAATCTGTGTACTGATGAAAATGAATATTTAATTTTCAAAAATGAAAAAATAGAAAAGAAAAATGCTTTTTAAAAAAATCAAGGAAGGGTGTGGTTCTAGAAACAGAAATCTACAACATTAGTAAGTAATCAATTACAAATATCCTTTAAGTCAAAAGTTAGTACTTAATGCCTTTAATCCCAGAAGATAATGTATTTCTATGATTTTTGAGTCCATCCTTGGTTACAAAGTGAGTTCTAGGCCATCTAGGGATATTTAGAGAACCCTCTTTCTCTTAAAAAAATTAAATAAACAACTCCTCTAAGCTAATGCTAACTAGTATTCATAGGCCATGATCTACATGGCCTATGTAGATCTACATATAATCTACATATTGATACTCTTCATTCATCTACAAAGGTCACCTGATTCTTCCCATGTAAAAGCTATGAATGTCTGCCATATGTGCCTTAAAAACTTCAGCGATAAAACATGAGGTGTGAGATCCAACTGCAGTTGTCAAAATTATTCACATAGGCTGTCGGGCTATATAACCCAGCTTCTGAGGATAGACCACAGCCAAGTCACACAACTTAACTTTCTGAATTGATATGAGGTGGTTCTGCACTTTGATCTGTACAGAAGGGCAAGAGATGCATTGCAGAGCCAGGACCATAGACCGAATAATCAGGGCAGCAGTTGTCTAAGCAGTTCTAAAGAGGGTTTAGTAACATAGATACTTTGCAAACTGACTGTGGACACAGCAAGCATTGAACACATAGTATTGTGTCTATCTCAAGGTACACTCAATAACAATACTTCCTTATCTTTGGACTCACCACATATTTTTAATTTATATAGTCTTACCTGGATAAAGACTTCTGTTCGATATTGTTATCCACTTCTAAATATAAATGAAAAATATATTTTATAACAATATATTGTTATATCTATAGGCCACCTGCAGATCTTTTTCTGATCTCTTTGTTCTCCCAGACCAAATCCTTCAGTCTTATCCTTAGTGATACAAGAGAACCAGCTCCAGTGTCTCATCCTCCCACCCCACCCCATCTATATCTTCTGTGGATCCCATAGACTATCCACTCCTAACATCCCTCCCCAATTCATTGTACCCCAGCCCTCAACTTAAGCAGGTGCCTCCTATTGAGATTCAGGCCACACCTGCCAGAAAACTAGGTAGGCTGCCCACAGAACTTCTCAGCTCTCTCTCTCTCTCTCTCTCTCTCTCTCTCTCTCTCTCTCTCTCTCTCTCTCTCTCACTCTTTTCCTGTAGACCTAATCACTCAGTCTCTTCTTCAGAACATCAACAGATCACCAACTACAGCCTCCTTTCCTCCCAGCCCACTTCTCCTGTGGAAGCCACAGACAATCTCCTCCTAACCTCACTCCCCCCAACTCATCATTGCATTCCAGTATCCAATACCAGCAGCCATTCCCTGTGAATACACCAGCTGAGAAGGCCTGTAAAACAGGCAATACACAGCTATCACACTCTATGAAAATCCAGAAAAGAAACAAACAAACAAAAAAACCAACAACGTAACACCTACCCAATTGACAAACCCAGAAATCAACACCTAGAACTATAATCATCCCAAACCCAGATGCCTAGATGTTAGCATTAGAACACGTTCAATAACAGCCAGGGCAATATATCCCCACCAGAGCTCAGCTATCCTACCACAGTGGGCACTGAATATTCCAACATAAATGAAGCACAAGATAAAGACCTTGCAAGCAACCATATGAAGATGACAGAGGTCCTTAATGAGTAAATGAATGAAGCCTTTAAAGAAATCTAGGAAAATGCAAACAATTGGAAGACAAGAATAAATCCCCTAAAGAAAACCAGGGGAAAATACAAAAAAAAAAAACACTTAAAGAAAAAAATATAAAACTGTTCAAGACCTAAAAATGAAAATAGAAGCAATAAATAAAATACAAACTGAGAGAATTCTACAAATAAAATTTTTAGGAATTTGAACAGGAACTACCAACAGAATACAAGAGATAGAAGAGAGAATCTCAAGCACTGAAGATACAATATAAGAAATGGATAGAAGAGTCAAAAAATGTTAAACCTAACATATTCCTGATACAAAACATCCAGGAAATATGGAACACTATGAAAAGACCACACCTACAAATAATAGGAATAGAGTTTGGAGAAGAATCCCAGGTCAAAGGCCTGGAAAATATTTTTAAAAAATCATAGAAGAAAATTTTCCTAATATAAAGAAGAAGTTGCTTATAAGGGTACAATCAGCAAACAGAACACCATATAGATTGCCATACAATAATCAAAACACTAAATATACCAAACAAAGACAGAACATTACAACTTACAAGGGAAGAAACCAAGTGCCATATCAGTACCATATCAGGGAAGACTTATTAGAATTGTACCTGAATTCTCAACGGAGTCTCTAAAAGCCAGAAGGGCCTGGACAGATGTCCTGCAGATCCTAAGAGACAAAAGATGCCAGCCCAGACTACTATTCTTAGCAAGAATTTCATTAGATGGAGAGAATAAGATATTTATGATAAAGACAATATCTATAAATCCTGCCCTACAGAAGGTGCTAGAAGGAAAACCCCAATCTAAGGAGGTTAAGTCTACCAATGAAAACACAGGGAATAAATAATCTCACACCAGCAAAACCAAAAGACATGTTCAAATACTCAAACACACACACCACCAACTGCAACAACAAAGGACAGTAATCAACAATCACTGGTCATTGATATCTGCCAATATTAATGGTCTCAATCCCCCCCACACACAAAAAAGACATAGATTAACAGAAAGGATACAAAAACAGGATCTATAATTCTGTTGCATCCAAGAAATACACCTCAAGACAGAGCCGGCCAGGACCCGACTAGACTAAGAGTTGAGTCTTTATCCTCATACCCGAACACACCAGCCCCTAGGCTTTGGGCCCAAGGGCACAACCCTTCGCCCCTACACCACCACCCATTGCAGTCCTAGTTTCAGGCCAGTTGGCAGGCAGACCTCCTGCAGACAGATCAGACTACCACTATCTACCAAGTGCTAAGACTGAAGCTACTCCCTGAGACAAAGCCCACTAGCACCAAATGGACTAAGAGCTGCTCCATGAGACAAAGAGTCCATCAGCATCAACTAGACCAAGAGCTCCCATTAGACAAAGAGGAGAAATAAAACCCAGAAATCAAGGAAGTCCAGAGGACCATGAGACCTAGTTTAAGAACCTGTACTCCAATAAATTGGAAAACACAAAATAAAAGGATGTTTTTGTTGATGTGTACCACTTACCAAAGTTAAATAAAGATCAGATAAATAATTTAAACAGAGCTATAGGCCCTAGTGAAATAGAAGCAGCTATTAAAAGTCTCCCAAGCAGAAAAACCCAGGCCAGAGAGTTTTATTGCAGAATTTTCTCAGTCTTCAAAGAATAATTAATGCCAATGCTCCTTAAATTATTCCACCAAATAGGAACCAAAAGAAGGTTGTCAAACTTATTTAAGAGGCTGCAGTCACCCTGATACCCAAACCACACAAAGATTCTGGTCATCAGCTTTTAGAGAGAAAGAAAAACATATTTCACAACAAGTATAGAAAACTATAGCAGAATAAAATGAAAAGACTAGTAATTTCTTAGTATGCATTGCATTGAGCCTCTCCTATAGCATATTCCTGAGTGAATATTCATGAATAGACAATTAATACTTATTCCTCTTTTTATATTTCCAATACAAGGAAAAAACATCAATTTATTGAATGTCAATACTTAAAAATAAACCACTATGCACAAAGGCCATGAACCTAGCTGACTACCTTCAGACACACAGAAAGTGGCATCCTTACCAGAATCAGTGTCATAACATAACTGTATCAAAGAAGCATCATGTTGTAGTAGTTGTTGTTGCTTACCACTGAATTGTATCCAGCGAATACTGAGTACATGTTTTCAATTTGTAAAGAAACAAGCTTCTCCAGCTACTTAGTTAAAATTGTTCAGTTAAGCTCCACCCATTATAGCCTCAGCAGCTGGTCATCAGGCAAGTCTCCTGTGGTCAGCCTGCTCCACCACCATCCCCAGTGGCATCAGAGGGCCCCAGAGGCACAGCCCCCACCTGCACCAATTGGAGGAAGAAGTGAGTGGCTGCTCTCCCAGCTGGACAGCTCTGTACCCTAGGCCATAGGACCTGGGGCACTTTCCACGCACCTCCTGACCCATCACAGCCTATAATTACCCCAAACCCAGTAGATGGCAGTGTAATAATACATTCAACAACATAAAGAGCAACATGGCATGACCAGAACCTAGTGGTTCTACAATAGCAAGACCTAAACATCCCAATGCAGATGAAGCAGAAGAAAGCGATTTTAAAAATAACCTTATGAAAATGATAGAGGCCCTTAGGGTGGAAATAAAAAAATTCCCTTAAAGAAATCAATGAAAAGACAAATAATTGGACCAAATCAATAAATCCCTTAGGAAAAGCAGAGAAAAAAATAAAAAAATGTGAAGGAAACAGTTCAAGACTTGAAAACTGAAATAGAGGCAATAAAGAAAACACAAACCAGGAGAATTCTGGAAATGGAAAATCTGGATAAACAAACAGGAACTACAGATGCAAGCATCACCAACAGAATACGAGAGATAGAAGAGAGAATCTCAGGCACTGAAGATATGATAGAGGAAATAGATTCATCAGTCAAAGAAAATGTCAAATCCAACAAATTCTTAACACAAAACATCCAGGAAATCTGGAACAACATGAAAGACCAAACCTAAAAATAATACAGATAGGAGAGGGATAATAATTTCAGCTCAAAGGAACAGAAAATATATTCAACAAAATCATAGAAGAAAAACTTTCCCAACCTAAAGAAGGACATGCTTATAAAGGTACAAGAAGCTTACAAAACACCAAATAGACTGGACCCAAATAAAATACCCTCACCACATAATAATAAAAATACTAAACATATCAATTAAAGAAAGAATATTAAGAGCTGCAAAAGAAAAAGGTCACACAACATATAAGGTAGACCTATCAGAAAAACACCTAGCTCCTCAATGGAGACTGTGAAAGCCAGAAGGTCTTGACCAGATGTTTTGCAGCCATTAAAGACCACAGATGTCAGCCAGGACTACTATACCCAGCAAAACTTTCAATCACCATAGATGGAGAAAACAAGATATCCCATGACAAAACCAAGTGTGAACAATGCCTATCCACAAATCCAGCCCTTCAGGAAGTACTAAAAGGAAAACTTCCACACGAGGAATTTAGCTACACCCACAAAAACACAGGCAATAAATAATCTCACATTTGCAAATCCAAAAGAAGGGAAACACACATACTAACAAAACCAAAAATAACTGAAATTAATAATGACTCACCATTAATATTCCTTAATATCAATGGATTCAATTCACCTACAGAAAGATATAGGCTAACAGAATGAGTAAAAAAAAAAAAAGATCTTTCTACTGCATACAAGAAACACATCTCAACTTCAAAGACAGACATTACCTTAGAGTAAAGGGTTGGGAAAAGTTTTTCCAATCAAATGGACCTAAGAAGCAAGCTGGTGTAGCTATCCTAATATCTAACAAAATAGATTTCAAAATAAAATTAATCAAAAGAGAAGGGGAAGAACATTTCATACTCATCAAAGAAAAAATCCATCAAGATGAATGTCAATTCTGAATATTTATGCCCCAAATACATTTGTAAAAGAAACATTACTAAAGCTTAAATCACACATCAAACTCCACACACTAATAGTGGGAGACTTCAACAACCCATTCACACCAATGGAAAGGACTGCCAGAGAGAAACTTAACACAGAAATGAGGGAACTAACAGATGTTACTATTCAAACTG